AGGGCTGGGTTCCCTGTGTGGAGGTTGGCAGAGGGATTGTCACTTTTGTCATGGCAGTAGGGCCATGGTGGGGACAGGGACCACTCCTGCTAGCTTCAAACCTTGGTGCCCCCTGTAATCTGTCCCTGTGGGTGCTGAGTGGTGGTGGTTCTTGGTCAGTGTCAGACTCCAGCCCTCTGCTCTCTCTTTCTTGTGGCTTTCCTTTTTATTTTTTTGGGGTTTTTTTGTTTTTTTTTAATTGTTCTTTTATTGTTCTTCCTTTTTTTTCCTTTCTGTTTTATTTTCAAGCTGGTTTCTTGGGAAACACGTGACAGCTTGGTGCCTGTCTCCCCACAATAAAGCTGCTGAGCCCAGTGCTGACCTCAGCAGGATTTGAGAGGGGAGGAAAAGGCCCCTCGGTCCCTCCAGCATATGCAAAGAGCCAAGGCCAGGAAGGAGAAGGGACAGACCCGCTTCCATCTTGTTCTTGTGTGTGATCAACCCCTGCATTGCACGCCACAGACTCCACAGTACTGGGACATCCTGTCCCTCCCTCAGCACTTTTAGGGTCATGGTGAAGGAGGGTGGTGAGGACTGTGTGTGACTCCTCTTTGACCAGGGAAGGAAAAGGGCACCCCATTTGTGTGTGTCCCCTCCCAGCACAGGTGGCAGATGGAGCTGGTGTCCCCATCCTAGAGGGACAAACKCAGCAGCCCTTTGCCCCACAGCCAGGAGGAACCTGTGCTTTATCTGCTTGGACTTTGTGGCACATGTGGAGGAACGCACAGATCAAGGGCCACCTCGGCCTGTCAGCATTGGCACTTACCCCACAGCAGCACTCCTGACGTTGGACTGAAGCTCCCCAAAAGTGAAGGAATGCCTGTGCTTTATGAGCATTGCACAACCCCCACCCAACCCACAGGCTGGAGGGAGCTGAGTGTGTCAGGGTGACTGTCACCCACTGCAGCCACAGGGAGGAAGGGCTCCGCAACCGCAGGTGCCGAGAAGTGATGAAATGCCTTCGGTTTTGCAGCTTTTTTTGCTTTTGCAACAACTCTTTCCTTCATTGTGAGCGCCCCTGCACAGAGAGCACATACCCAGCCTGCCCACACGAGCAGAACAAAGACCTCATAAAAGCCAGGGCAGGGAGAGCAGGCGGTGTTCCAAGTGCACCATGGAGCAGGTTGGCTCCAGAGGGGCTCCAAAGGCTGTCCCWGAGCAGGTCCAGTGTCCCCACGGGGCACAGGATGCCCTCCTGGCACACAGCACCCAGCTAGCTCTTTTAGCATGAGAAACTGTTCTTGTGAAAAAAGAAACAACCCTTTAGGGAAACACATTTAGCTGATTTTTTTACACCTGGAGTGGTATTGTTGCCATTGTTTAATTCCTTTTGTCCAGGAGAGCCACCCAGGCTTGGTGCTCCTCAGCCCACAGCAGGGATGATCAGCAGCCCAGCACTGCAGGCAGCTGCCTCCACTGACAAAAATCAGGAAGTTGCTCAGCTGAAGTGACTTGGAAGAGRAGCACTGGATCCTTCTGCTGATTCAGCCGTGCCTGGGCTTATCAAGGCACAGTTTAAGACACTCAATTTAACACTTGATTGTAAATCACATTTACACTGCCTGCTCTTTACACTTAGGCCTGAATTATCAGTCTCCATTTCCTGTTACCATCTTCTCCCAAGCCCAATGGACAAAAACGGCTTTTGGGCAACCACTGCCTGCGTGTGGACTTCAAAAAGTTCATAGCAGCTCTGCTCTTGCTGCACTACCTGGGCAAGTCCTGCTGAGCTGGTGTAACTGAGCTGCCTCCCTCACCTGAACCAATTCACCWTTTTTCTTCATGTACCTGTTATAGAGTGATTTCTCCCACCAGGAAACAGCCAAGCTACAAGAAGCGTTTATCATGTTGTCTCTCCCTGCTTGTCCTGCCTTTTCAGGTCTGCGTGATTCGGGAGAAAACTTCGAAACAGTCACTAGAGTTTCATCCTYTCTAAAAGCAGAAGGACGAACAAGCTTGAGAGGGGAAGTTGGGCCAGCAAACCCCACAATGGGGACCAGCCCACAGCACTGCAGYTCTGAAGATTTACTGTTAGCTGTGGAGCACAAAGATCAATAAACTCTGGGATTTTTGTGAGGGTCCTAAAAGCAGCCAGACTGCCCAATGGGCTGAAGCTGCTGTACCACACCCAGCCAAGGCCTAAAGTGTCACCTCTTATCACTCAGAGTTCCAGGACTCAGGAACTTTGAACCCAAGTCCCTGATCCAAGGGCTTTCACATCGTGGGAAGTGCTCTCCTACCTTACAGGTCTGATAACGCTCCTCTTTCGCAGTGTCTCCTGAACCACTTTCTGACCAAGGAAGGAAATTCCAGAGAGAAGTGACCACGGCAYCACCTGGCCTAGATCAAGATGCCTGTGGCCTGGAGGCACCAGCTATCAGCTGGATCTGGGCTAGGAGTTGCCTGTTTGTCAGGCAGCACCACTCCCAGGGTGTCACACTGGTTTCCTTATCTGCACCTGGACTTTGGACAGAGATCAGAACTRCAGCCACCTGGGCAAGGAGGAGCTGTTTTGAGGATCTTTACCCACTGGGGCGAGCCCCCAGCTGAGTGAAAGCCAGGCTAAAAGCCTCAGCAGGAACCAGGCGGGTTTGCTTCGCTCAGAATCAGGAAGCTTCACTCCATTGGATCCCTTTGCATCAGAAATCCTTGTGCTCCCAGCCCTGTGACCCGCGTGGGTGCCAAGCTGGAGCAGTCGCTCAATGCYTGTGTTTAATGAAAGGTTTTGACCACGCAGCCAGGCCAGAGAGGGCACATGCTGAGTTAGGTAATGGCCCATTATTACCCTGGCCCCCACACACAGCAGCACAGYGCTGGCACCGCTCTGCCAGGAGCCGCGGGGACACTGCAGCTCTGTCCCCGCACAGCTGGGARCAGCTCGGGGAGGAAGGGCCATCCTGGGGCTGCCTGGGCTCYGTGGGGCTGCCCAGAGAAAGCACCCTCAGTCCTCACAGGGAAAGCAGTGCAGCACAACCAACACGTGGCCAGGCTCCTGCTGCTCACACTGCAAACGGGGAGATGGATCCCAGCACAGCTCAGCACAGAGTGGGTGCAGTTTGGGAGCTGAGCCTGCAGCAGGTGGGGTGAGGCCCAGGAGGGGAGCACACTGCAAACACAGACCTGCTTTCCCCCCAGATCCAGCTCCACCTTCCAGCCTGCTTCCCCCTGTCGCTGCTCCCGAGAGCTGCAGAAGGCACAGTGGTTCCCTAAGTGGTTACCCAGATCCAGCAGTGCCAGCCCCGCTGCAGGAGCGCTGATCCGGAGGCTGCAGAGGAATCAGTCACTGACCCAGGGGAGGGAAAGCCCATTTATTTAGGCTGTTCAAATTTGGCACGCACAGAACATATCACAGTAATGCACTGGAGGCTAAGGGTTTTGGTTTTTTTTTTTTCTTTTTCTCTACAGACATACAAGAAAACTCTATGCAACTCCCATGTACACATTACACAAAGGAAACAGCTTTAATCAACCACTGATGAAACATGGAAGCTTTTAAGATCTCTGTAGCTGGCACAGGAATGTTCTCTACCCCCCATACAAAAGGCATTTCAGGTCAAACTTTCTAGTAGGTGATATTTCCATGCATTTCTACAGAATTAAAGAAGCTAACAGACAAAAAGCCCAGATCAAGCCGTATTAGTCAGGCTGATGGGTTCTACTAAGTTAAATCAATAGTAATTATGGACAAATGGACCAAGTGACCAAAGACTGGGGCTGAAAATACCATTTTTCAAGTTGTGGTTCCTTTTCACTTTACTACCCATAACTGGAAAGCTCTGATATAAGAACCTGCACTTATAAAAGCCTCAGAAGCATCTGATCCACTAGTAAGTGTCTATTAGAGAWAGGTAGTTCTAAATTAAACTATGTCAACAGAAAAAGCAATTTCTATAGAATCACTCAGGAGGAAAGAGACCTCAAGACACTTCATAACAAGAAAATTGAACCTACAGAACAAGTGAACCTTTAAATATTATTACTGCACCGTGAGATTACAAGAGAGTGGATTAGGACTATTTCTCCAAGAAAAGTGTCTGCTTTATGTCTAGCTTCATAATTAGGCTTTTTTAGTACAGCTCTGCAACTGCAAGCACTAAGAATTTAACCCAGTTTTGGTGCTAACAGGTTGCTTTAGCTGAAGTTTAACCACRGGATTTAAGTTTCGTCTTAAATGGTTTCAGGGGAAAAGTTTCTGAATTTCACTTGTYACTACTCAGAAAAGCAAGAACAGAGACCAGATCGTTCTCACCTCTCCACCTATCATGATATGCTGCTCAAATTTTTGGAAACCTTTAGTGTTAATCCATTGGGGACAGTACTGGGCTGGACAACCAATGCAAATATTAATACACCAAGATAAATCCTTAATTTGATTTATTTAGGGTCATTTGTACATACGAGCTACATCTCCAAAATCTACTTTATTCTACAAGACAGCTTCCCTACTGTTAGTGAAACCCTTGCCTAGAATGTTTGCTTTATATAACTGATCTATTAAAACATGGAATGCTTGTAGAGTTGTGGCACTGTATGACATCTACACGGGACTTCCTTCAAAAGCTACGACTAGGGAGCCTCCTAGCTTCTCAGCAATGCAAGCTCGGTTCAGGTCCTCTGGCCCATTTGCTTGGCATTCATGCTTTATGCCTAAAAAAAGAGGCAAAACACTCAATAATGCAATATTTCCACATGCTGGTAATCAATCAAAGAAACATACCTGGTAGTAAT